GGGGGGGGTGGTGTTGGTTTGTTTTTGTTTTTTTTTACTAGCAATAAATTATTAAGATTTCATAAAAAAGACAGGATTATACAATGGAATCAAAACTTGTATCAAAGAAATTTTCAGGGATTAGAATAATCATGAACTTTTAAAATCTGTTTAGATACAAATTCTGACACAAGTAGAAACTGGTTACTCCAATCACCAGTTCCATTTTTACATTATATCTGAAAAATACTCTAGAAAACACAGGAAAATATACCTTTAAATGATACAGATAAAAAATACGTTTTTAAATGGGTTCCCTTAATTCAGCTTTTAGGAATGTGTTTCCAACCAATTTTCATCCCGTTCAGTAGGCTGACTGCTGAAGAGTTTTGGATATCAAGATGCAAAGGTCTAGCTCTAGAATTTGATAGAGCTATGATTGGGCTACCTGGTTTGCAGTCAAATCAGAAATCAAATGTTTAAAATCTTGGTGAATTAGGCGGTTTATATTTACATTCTGACAACACCTCAAAAAGTCTGTTCTGGAATTTGATCCCTACTCTCTAAGAATAGTTCCCTTTCTCATTAAAAAAGTGTAACCCTTTCCCAAAATTGCACTGTAACGAGTTTACCATACTAGTCACACATGAAGGTGTGTATTTGATTACCAGCAAACAGAAAATTGCATTAGAGCAGTCCAACACCTAACAAATGTTGCTGTAGATTTCAGTTTGCTCAGCAGAAATTAAATAAAGCCAGTGCTTAAGGCAGGTCCATACTACAATTAGATCAGGAGTTTGCACATCCTCTGCTTCTGTTGCTGTTTCCTCCTTCTGTTTCTTTCCTAAAGTCTGTCAAACCATCGCTATTTGTTTGTCGGTATTTTAAGGGACCACGCATGTAATACGATGGTATAGAAAACAAATGAAATACATGAGCAAGAAATTAGAAGCACGTAGGAAAAAATGCACCGATTCACAAAGTTTGTAACTGTTTAATTCTAACTACTTATTTAGGAATTGGAGACTGCTTCCAAGTAAAATCTGATCAGAAAGATTCTCCTAGTCCTCCCACCATTCAACTTGATCGTATAGTGCTAGAGGAACAAACCCATAATGAGCCACCTTCTATAAAGGCTTCTGGCATAGGTAAACTATTATGCATGGAGGAAATAATTTACAGTTTCATCAGTGTGGGGGTCCACTCTCAGCCGCCTTTTACCAAAAAGCCCTGGATTTTGCGAGCAGTGACACCGCTAACTAGACCAGGTTGCTCAGAGCCCCATCCAACCTGTCCTTGAAGAGCTACAGCCCTCGGTGGATTAGTGGGCATGGGTGCTTGTAACCCCATGTCCTGGGCTGGGGCAGAAGGCGCATATAACTGCTCTGGGTGTGTCTGTGTGTTCAGAACTTTTTTGGGACTAGTTATAAAATGGTGTTTAAAAATGCGTAAGATATCTCAACATTTTGCAGATGTGATCTACCCATTGCATTGCTGCTATTGATATTGAATGTATAGTTCACTGATTTCCAATTAGTTATCTGTCATTAATAAATCAATAACCTGCTTTGACCCTGATTTGGTTTAAGGTACATGAACCAAGCAGTTTTTCCCGACACCAGCCTATGGTTGCAAAATCCTCCGTTCAAAACACCATGTAGTTTACATGAGAGAAAAGCAAATGGAGTTTGCTAGGAAAGATGTGTTTCTTGCCTTCTTTCTTCAAGGATCTAGAATTCTACACAGGCAAGCAGTGTGGCACAGTAAGGGAGGAGCAGTCGCATGAAACAGCTGGTAAGGTGAACCTAATATCCCCACTAGATGCATTTCAGGATTTTACTTCATACCAGCTCTCTTCTGCCATCATGGACCTTCATGCCCATTACTGGCTGAAGTATATTAGCTGCCTCAGCTTCAGAGGTTTTTGGGGGGGGGTTTTTTTTTTTTTTTTTTTCTACCAGTTCACTTGCTTTGACACTGCTCCATGTGAGCCAAAACAGAGTATGTGGGGGTGAGTGGGAAATTAGTTCCAAAGATGCGCTCCTGACCTGACCTATCTAACGTCGATGTGGCAGGAATGGCTGTGGCCTCTTAAGTACCAACCTACTTCTGCTGAGCACAGGCAGCAAAAAAGACAATTTGGTGACTGCCCAATTCATCACAGGAACAGATTTTTTTTTCCGTGTCATATACAGTTCTAAGTGATGCTGACAAAATCTGTTCTTTATATGACCAGCAAACAAGTACATTCTTACTAGCTACGTTATATACTTTTGCTACAATGTTCCATTACATATTTGACTGAAACTTTGTATGAAGAATTTTACCAAATGCAAATACCAAACATGCTTTTTCTTAGTCTTTGGATGTCCGCTTGGATCATTTAAGCACATACACCCTTCAGGTGGTGCGTACAACAGAAATGCCTAAAATGCATAGCTAGCTATCTTCTGCCATGGTTCTCATCTCCTGAGCACATTTAACAGAGTAAATAAGCAATATGGATTTTAACTGTACAAAATCAGCCATGATAATCAATAGCTTGCCTTTTTGGACAGAATATTTTCTCTGTCTTTTCCATTAATATTATTTAGAGAGATGGATGTTTCTGAGAATGGCATAGATAAACCATACAGACATTCACATAATATAAGAAAACCTAAATTTATATGAATGGTGAAAATTAAATGTTCTCATATGGCTTTAGTTGATATCACTTAACTGCAGTGACAATCATGACAGAGATGTTTCATTTTTGACAGAAAAAAATGTGTACAAAGATATATAAAAAAGCTATACATAATGAACAAGAAATTATAGGCTGTACATTTTTAAATTCTGTTAGATGTTATTAGCAATCAACTGTAAGTCAAAAAGTTATACATAATGAACAAGAAATTATAGGCTGTACATTTTTTAATTCTGTTAAATGTTATTAGCAATCAACTGTAAGTCACAGCTATAGTAAATAATTCGTCATTGTAGCTCCACCTCCAAGTTAATACCAAGTTGTATTCATTAATGCATAATTTAAAAGTTAAGATTAAAACTATTTCAGAAAGCGAAGAGCTTTCTTTTTCAGTAGTGACTTGAAGTAACAGACCTTTCAGAAGGCCTTAGAGTTAACAGTCTGAAATTTTTCTGTTTACTCTACTTTTGTTATACTTGCCACATTCCAGAGATTCATCTGATCCATCTCCACAGTCATCGTCATGGTCACATACAAACTGTTTGGGAATGCAGACTTTGTTACGGCACATGAAAGCATTCTCGTCACAGGTGTTATTAGGAGCTAAGGAAAATACAGGACATAAAAATAAATTAAATTGAGAACAGTAAGGTATACAGCCATTTTCTTACAGAAAGATGAAATGAGAAGTAGTTAGTCTGAGTGGATTTGATGGAAATAACCATAACTTTTGAGTCAGACAAAAAGCAGCCCTCAATTCAATAGCAGAAAAAGCTGATCATCACCACAAAGATAGCTAAAGAAGTAAGGATAGCTAAAACCTCATGTAATCCAAGACAGAAAGGCTTCAGAAGTTGATGATATCTACAACTAACCTAAGGTCTGCCTCCAAGGAAAGAACATTAGGGAGCTAGAAATGCCCTTCCTGAACAGAAGCTCTTTAAAATCTGCAAATACTCAAAATATAACTCAGCCTAGAAATGGTAAGTGATAGAATATGCATTCAATGGAGAAAACATATTTGAGTGTTTTTAACCTGTACCATTCTTATATACATTAATAAAACAAAACCTCTGATGAAACTACTAGTGAACTCCTGACACTTATAATAGAAACGTATCTCAAAGACGGGAAGTAATAGTTTATAGGGCAAGAGATGTCAAGATCTGAACAATTAGCCAGAAAAAAATGGAGACAGAACTGTATCTCCCTTTTTGATGTACAACCTCCCTGACATGCAGCAGCGTTTTCTTCAGGAAGAGGAATAAGAATGCATCGTCAATAATGTGCTAATTTTCATTAGTAAACATGCTGTATAATGTCTGTGACGTGACACGCATACAGATCTTCAGCTGCTGTGCCTTGGTATGTATTAACAAAACCTGAAGGTGTTAACGCTAATTAAAATACTGAAGGATCCTGGTATGTAGGCTCACATGTGGTCCATAAATCTTTACTAGCAATCTTGACAGTCTACATACTACAGACATAAATCTGTGTACTACAGACATAAATCTATGTGCTACAGACATAATCTTAATATATAACAATCTTGACTGTCTATATGCTACAGCATCTGAATATTGTAAAGGTAAAAGAACCAAGGAAAGAAATACTATACATTCTTAGCATGCACATACCGCAGCCGGCTGTCGACAGTTCATCACTTCCATTAGGACAGTCTCTTTCACCATCACAAAGCCAGTGATGGGGAACACAGGCATGGGAGCCTAAACAACTGAATGTATCTGCAGCGCAGGTCACTGAACCTGAAAAAACATTACATGTGAGTGCTGAACACGTTCTAACTGATTTCTTTTAATGGGTAAGGACTGGGTAAAGGTTTTTTATTTTAAAAGAAAGCTGAAAAAAGATTTTGTTCTGCACAGTATGATAAACATATTGGCTAAGTCTTTATTTTACAGTAATTTTTGACAATCTACTATTTCTTCCATACTTTCCATTTATTCAGTCTCAATTTTCTGCAAGAAAATTTAATTTACCATACTTCATGGAAACTATCCAACAGAATAACTTTTCAAACCAATTTTGGTCTTTATGTTTGGACTGACCGAACAAAGGAACTCACCTTATAAACCGCATCATCCTCACATCACCATACTCTATGCCAGGAGCCTAAACTTGCATGAGTCAGCCCCATGTAGAAGAGAACAATGTGCAGCAAGTACAATAGTAGCGGCAGTAAGAAAATGTCTGACAGTTCTAATGCAAGTAGCTCAACATACTGTTTATTTGACTAATACTTACTTTTTTTTAACAAGCTTTTCTCCAGATAAGAATATTATATCCTAGATTAGCTCTTACTCTGTTTGGAAGTAAACTTTTGTGTAAGCCATCACTTAATGTATTCTCTTAGATAAGTTAAATATACTTCACTAAAAAGGAGACAGTGTATTTTCCACTAATTTTAATTAGAAATTAATAAAACAGTATCATTTTAAAAATTTGATTTTTTGTACTATTTTTGCAAGAGAGACAACTTTTGTTTACTTAGAGGCATTTCCATTTTTGATACTACTTAAGTTAAACTGCATATTAAATAAATATTTCTTTTGTAAGACTGAAAAATATGAAGTCATCTTGATCTCTCTTTTCTTCTTGCAATTCAGATCTGCCTCCTGTTCCTAAGGAGAAATATAGCATTAATACTCCCCTCTTCATAACCGGTGTGGATTTTTCCTCTCTTCAGGAGATGGCCTGTAATTTTATTGGTGGGCTTTCTTCTAATAAGAGATCTACAATGTATTGTAAGTCAAGATATCGAAAGTAATTCTGAACAACCTTAAGAGGGGAAAAAAAAAATTGTAGTGACACTTCGCAGTGTGCTGGCCTTTGTTTTCCCTCTTCCTATTTTCTGCTCTAAGTTTCCTATTAAGCTTCAGGCCTTGATGTTTCTTAGTATTTCACATTGTTCTATGGTAGTCCTAGACGAGGTGCTTGTCTTCTCATTTCACACCTTCTCCTTCTCCTAGGGGAGAGAGGCAGACAAAAATCTTCCCTTTCAAACAGACATTGCCTCCAACTCCCCAGTCCTCAGCATGACCTGAATATCATGAAAAAATGTATCGTAGATGGATGTCAACTTGAAATTAATGTAGTAATTCGTTCATAATTTCCATATTAGAACAGTATAATTTCCACCTTTGTCCTTTTCATTTGTTGGCAACTGTACATCTGTGTTTGATTAAGAAACTACTTAAATAAACCACAAATCTGAACATAAGCTGAAGACATTTCTTCTCTGTCTACTTAACAATTGCAGTAAAGTTATCAACAATATTTTTGCTGTGGTATCACACATGAAACACGGAATAAAATACTCTGTGTTGGATGGACTTTAAGTAAAAGGATTTTTGAAAAGGAACAAATACTTAAGAGTTAAAAGTTGAAATTTTAAAAAGAAAATCTTAAAATATAGCATAGATAAGGATGGAACCAATGCATAAAATATCATGAAATTGTGACAGTATGACTTGACACAGTGTGATTTTGTTTTGAAAAGAATTCACCAACACATTTCTAGTCAACTGAGCCCCAGAATGAAGGTAAATTTTTCATTTCCTTACGCAATTTGAAGGGTTTGGAAATTTGAAAGGACTATTATGCAATAATGCTTATGACTGTATATATAAAAATTTAAAGGGAATAGGACTAAGAGCTGGGGAAAAAAAACCCTAACTTTAGAGTCTTCAAGACCCTACTACCACTGAAATGTAAAACTCAAATAGTGATACAGGGGCTTTACCTCCAGGATGGGAATTGGAGAAAATTTTGCTTCTCCTGTGGCTGGTGGGCCATTCATACCTTCACTGATAGACTGCACGCAAATCACACAGTCCCCATAAAAAGGTGTCTAGCTGGTGGTTGGATGGGGCTGGGAGAGGATATCTTCTAACACCCTACCCTTAAAGCATAGGCTTTTTGGAGATGATGTACTTGTTTCCTTCACCACCTTCTTGGATCACTTGGTCTCTCTCAGTATATATCAACTGACACAATACAGAACTAAAATTATTCTACTTACCACAAATAGCATCACTCTCATCTAAACCATCTCCACAGTCATCCTCACCATCACAAGTCCATTGCTTAGAGATGCATTTATTTGCAGAGCAAGCAAATTGATTCCATGAACAAGATGAATCTAGGAATGACACCAGCCACTGCATTTGTTAGCCACAGACAACGCAACAGCACTGTGTTCCTTGTATTTTCTAGCATAGTTTAGGACTCTCCACACCGCTGCTTTCTGTCCTCCCAATTTTAGTGTATTAAAACACTCAAATTTAGCATAATCCTAATCTTGGTATTCAGGATGTTACCAGTTTGTCTAAGAGTTTGCATTCACCAATACATTCATAAAAATAATAATAATAAAAAAAAAAAAAACCAGGAAAGCATTCAATACTCATACATTCTAATATTTTTGAACATTTTCCTAGTGGGATGAAGACAAACACTTTAAAAACATTAGTCTGGTTTGTGTACTTCACATGGATATTGTAACTATAGCTTTATTTTAGTAGTAGGGCAGACACAGCACAGTTGAAATTTTCCAGCACACTTTTCCTCTTGGCATTGTAGTATTTAATTGCATCTTTAAAAGATTTCATATTCTTTTCTCTCACAAGAAAAATTGCTGTGTACTTGCTTTCTCTTGTCCCATTTACACTTTCATATACATTGAAAGTAATGGCACGCTTCTGTGTTTCAAAATCAGTCTGCAAAACTGTTGTAAATAGGTGCTACTATTACGACCTTTCCTGAAAACTTAAAATTATCTGCTATTCCCAGACTTCCTTCTTTAAGAATAAAATTTATTTTGTTTTAACTGATGACAACAAATTTTAATATTAACAATAAAAATAATTTTAGGCAATACAATCTGAATAAAAAACTGAGTGTTGTAACACCTACCTCAAAATGGGTAAGAGCAATAAGTAGGGAATTAGAATGTACTAAACCCCCTCCCTCTCTCCCACAAAAATTGCTAATAGGTTGTACAATATTGCATATGATTACGTATGTAATAAGACCTGGAAACATAAACACTGAGTTAACACAAACCCCTCTGATTTTCATAGTGTACAGCAGTCTTTAATTTTGAAGTTAAAAGATGCATATATATATAAAATACAAACCAAACATGGAAGCCTGTTAATGGAAACTGGGTCATGAAGAGAGTAACATATAACTTTCAGTCATGTTAAGCGGTAAAGCAGAAACAAAAAAAAAAAAAAAAAAAGGAATATACAAATTTCAGGTTTTATTTAAATGGGGAATAGGACAATTCGATACTGTTTTTGCTGTTCTGCTATGATTAAGTTACAGAAATAATCCATTCAGGTAATCCATACAAATTTGAGTTAAAAGACCAGCTCTCAGCAAAACCTGCACTACTCCTCAGTTCGGTAGTGTTTAAGAATCTGAGACAGAATGGATCCTTAAGGTGTTTTACAGCTTATGCTGTATTTTATACACAACACTTTTTTTGTTACTTTAAGTAATTATACCTGGATGGCGTCTGATGCAAATAAATGTCTATTTTTATGACATAAAGGTCTATATTGGTTACTTCCTGTTGGGGTCACACAACATTGATATGAACTGATTATATCTTTAAAACTGTCCTAATGAGGAATTATGAAGAATTAGTGAAATTGTTGTATATGAAAGCAATAGAAAGTCAGTATACAAATACATCTTTAGGAGAAAAAAAAAATTGGACTTTCATTTTGGCATGAGATAGGGTTTAAAATATTGGCAGTGTGAAGTATTGGAGTTGGAACTGAAAACGAAGTATTAATGACCTTTTTATATAGCTCTAGATTCAATCCCTGAGATATAAATGAACGTTTCTTTCTCTTTTCAAAGAACATTAGTGATTACAGAAATACAAATAAGATAAAATGCTCACCACAGTGCAATTCATCTACTCCATCCTCACAGTCTTTCTGCCCATCACAAAGCCAGGTGGTCAGAATACATCTTCCACTAGGACAACCAAAATAATTTTCTTCACATGTGGGTTTGTTTTGAACTGTGATAAAATAAAGAATGTAATGTAAAATGGTCTCTACTAGTATGATTAGGAGCCTAATACATTTCTCCTAGATTTCTGAATTCTAATGGACAACAAGGTGTTTATGTCTAAAAATGCAAACCCCATACTACTTATATTATTTAACTGTCTTCATACAAATTAGAAAATAGCGACAGCCAAGTCGTTTTAGGGAGCTGCAATACTTCATTTATTTAGAGAAGAATAGAGTACAGCTTCAACCTAAGTTAAAAGAACCTATAGAGGAAAGTAGTTCAGTTTAGGGGTTTTGAGCTCAGGTGGATCAACATCGCTTGTTCCTTTACACCAGCTGAAGAAACTGCCCTTCTGATCTATCTGCTAGCACCTACAAGATAACCTAATTGTGGCAGCTACAAACCTGATGCATGCACTGACTAACTGGGGTTATACCACTGATGTTGAAGCCAGAGACTTATATTTTGTCGCAAATGAAAAAGTTGTTCTTCCTTGCCATTTTTCTTTGTAGAGTGTGAAAGTCATTTAAGATTTTACTTTCATGAATGCTTCAAAAACAGATGTGAGGAAAGAAAACATACCATATACTTAGTTTCATGATGCAAGCACAAATATTCATCTAATGAGTGGCACGGGTTATTTTCAAAATCTCAAGCAAGGTCTTTGCCTGGGAAACCCCAGGTGATATACACTAGTTCCAAGCACTGGAGATCACTGAAACTCTCTGCCAGTGTTTCCATTACTCCTTTAATGTCTTGGGGCTATCAACACTGGGGTTTTTGCCCTCCTTCCCACCAAAAAAAAAAAAAAAAAAAAAAAAAAAAAAAGATAAAGTTATCATATTTCTGGCTTCTACAGCTGTATGAATAGAAAAGAAAAAAGAATAAAGAAGTGGGATGTCTACAATGACTGGGTAGGTATTAAAGATTGTCTAAGTATAGTCACCCCTAAATAAGTACTTTGCCTTTATTTTCTGTAAAAACAATGACACTGAACAAAGACCGTTAATGGGAATTACCATATTCATAATAGAAACAACACTCAAAAACTTAATGTTCCAAAGTTGGTCAGTTTTGAATGAAATGGCAAAGGAAATCACATGCAGGCTGAATTGGAATGGTATTGCTTCCAAGTAAAGGGAGGAATGATCCAGACAATTAGTCACACATTAAAATGATAAAACTTTTTGGCACACATTTGAAAGACAAAATAAAGTAATACAAATAAATGGTCAATGGAATAAAATGCAACATTAGTTTACTTATGCAACATTAGTTTACTGAAGCTATAGCACACTGCCCTCGATGTCTTCCTTGGTATGGAAAAAAAAACCTTATAGACAAGGAAATACAGTAAATTTAAGCTATTTTGAGCTCAGTGAAGCCTTATACACAGCAAGTTCTAAAGAATTATTAAATAATCTGGAGAATATGGATATTAGAATGAAAACTATAATTTAATATGTATCTGGTTTATAGTGGGGATGAAGGTTCGTAATGTTGGGTTGATTGATGTTAGTGCTGAAGTTCTAGGTTCCTTCTGGATCCTGGTAATATTTTCATCACTAAATTTGGCACAAATTATATGAGAATTCTAACAGAAGCTTTTGGTGACACAATGGGCTCATCACACAGAAAAACAGAATATTAAATAGGAATAGTCAAATGATGTTAAATACCACTCTAGCAAAAATTGGATGGTAATTAACATAAAATAAAAAGTTTTATTTTTACTAATTAATAAGCTTATTAATTAGTAAATATTTATTTACACTAAATAATTCTTAAAAGAAAGAGGCAGGCATTGGTCACAGGAAGACAAAATCTAGCATGAGTTAATTTTGAAAACAAACATAAATAAAAAATGAAAATGTATCTTCACTGATATAAGGCAAAAGTAAGACTTCATCTGCTATACTGGATACTGGTCTGGCCTACTCAAATGAAATGCAGGTTGAGATGACCAAGATGACACAGATGGATATTTCTATCTTGAAAGCAGTAATGCTAAAATGCCTTTGCTTATTTGCCATTGCAAGTAAAGAGTAAGGATATGGTTACCGAAGGACTACAAGGTCCTTCTCAGCATAAGAACAGCTATAAACTGGAATACACATAGACTAGAAATTAAAAGAATGAATGAGGTCCTGAAAGATGACAGTAATAGGAATACTATGAGCAAAAAAACACTACTAATTTTTATTTCTATAGATTTTTGTATAAGAGCTCAAGGTGCAGGAGAGGAGATATAGGCTTGACATCCCCAGAGGTTTTTTGCTAGTGCACACCGTCTTCAGTTTGATCAGAATTTCATAGGATGGCCATAATCCTACAAAAATGTATCAATAAACCTGTAGTATTCTAATTCTAAATACAGTTTATAATTTATATATTTATAGGTATGTGTACATATTGTACTTAATATTTTCAAACTTAAACTAGGCATTCTGAATAATAAAGGAGCAAACACATAAACGCCATCCTTCATTAGGTAAGAATTTAATATTGTGAATAATTAATTGGTTAACACTAAATATGGTATTAATTGTCTCAATGATTTGGGTTAAGGATTGTATAAACCCTAAAAAAAAATCCTACAACCCCAAACAAATTAGAACATAAATGTTTATTAATAATACAACTAGATATTTACACTCATTCATCATTAAGAATTTGATTTTGTACAACACTTCAGAATTTAGAGTAACCCAAATGACCTATGAAATAATAGAAAGCAGATGCTAAAGCCATGATTATGAGATAATGAGCATTTTTCAAGACTGCAGAAGAGACTTGCATAAAAGCTCTATACTCCTGCATGAGGGATCTTCCCCTCCCTTGCTACTAGATAGGCTCAGAGGGCAAAACTATTTAAACATTAAAAACTTTATGTTGACTTCCGAAGTTCATTAACACTTACTCTGGTCATTCTGATAAAAATTGCATCATAAAGTCTCATGAAAGTAGAGGCTTTCCTTCAAATTTACATATGCATAGATATTGAAAATGTATGTTTCTAATGTGTTAGTATTCTGCCTTCTCACAAAAAGCTATCAGAGCAGAAGTTGAAGAAATAAGACTTTAAAATGTCAAGTAAGTCTGATTCTTGTTTCTTCCATGCAAGATATTTACCTCAGTGCTTCCTGTTGTTACTGGTTCTTTGCCCATCTCTATTTTAATAATTTTTTCATGATTCATTTTCTAAGACACTAAGTTTATGATTTTATTTTTTTTTTCCTACATGTCATAAGGCTGTAATGTCTTTCCCATAGGGCAGCAGAAAAAACCTGGAAAAGTAACACAATCTGCAGCTGTAAATACCTCCTCCTTTTCTGGCAGCCTACAATGTCAGCCCCGGGACTGGGACTCAAGGGTACCGTGATCTCTTTGTACTGGCTGAAGACCAGAACAATCAGAAAAGCAATAACCCTGGATTCTACCCTGGCAGCCTAGCCCAAGTACCTCCACAAAATAAAAGAAGAAGTAAACAAGAAAAGAAATACCATCCACTAAAGTAGTAGCTAATAAAAGTTCCCGACTGATTGTGCTGAAGCTTGATGAGCTTGACATTTTAATGACTGATGTTTTACTTAAATAAAAATGATTAATGACAGACCTAACCTTGAGGAAGCAGAAAGCCAGACATTACAGTTTTCTTCAGAGAAATGCATTAGTAATAATTTGCATAATCTAATGAAACACAAATTAAAGACTGGTGAAAAAACCTGCATTCAGCATTATATTAATCTCTGCATTAAATAAAACAGTATTGGCTGAATAAACATTTTGCAACACAATTAGAAAAAAGAACCAGAAACATAGGAATATATTTTTCAAAAAAGTAAATAATTTTCTTTCTTTTCCACAGTTACCTGGGCATTTTAGTTCATCTGTGTAATCTCCACAGTCATTAGATCCATCACATATCCATTCTGGCAGTATACAAAGTGAAGTCGAATTACAGCTAATAAATCCTGAAGATTTTATTCCAAGTTTATAGAAGTAAGCACAGTTTGTATTATCTGGAAAGAGACAGTAAATTACTACATCATACCTAATATAGACAGAGAACCTTACAGTTTGTTTTTCAGGTTTAGCTTGAGTTTGCGCAGACCATGCAGCTGCTGGTATCGAACTAGTAATGCCATGAATTAACTGCTATATAACAAGGAATAATCATGGAACAGATGCTATGATGAAGCACAAAAAGGAACTTACTACAGTTCTTTTCATCTGAAGCATCTGCACAATCAATGATCTGGTTGCACTGTGCTGATTTTCCAATGCAAAGCCCATCTGCACAATGGAATTCTGTTGAAGCGCACGTTGAATCTATAACATATGGTTATAAAAGTTGTAAATTTGTGTACTAAACAGACTCTTCAGATGCAGATTATATGGATTTTGCTTAAACTTTCCACCTTTTAGGATGAGGCATTCAGAACACACTGTACCCTCCATAGCTAAAAATTCAGTAGAAATATAAGGTTTAATATACTGGGAAGCATAATTATGTTTCTAAATTCTAAATTTATTTTTTGAGCCTCAAAGTCTCTTTCTAGATAATTCAACTCAATTTGAGATAATCACTGTGTGGGGAAGGAAGAACAACTTTCAGGACCATCTATGAATATCAGATTTTTTCACGTAACACCAGATTGGGGATTTTGCCTGTATGCTTTTCTCTCTACTGATATTCAGCTAAACAATTAAAAAACATGCAGTGCTTTGGAAAAAATCTAGTTACTACAGCTACACAGGTTTTAGCTAGATGTTGTAGGAATAATTTCCCCTCCAATCTTTCTGAATTTTAACTAAGGATTTGTGTTGTCTGCTAGCTAGCCTTTATTCATTGGCTGAAGCATGGATATAAATATTCATGTTTTAAGACATAAAAAGAAAAACAATTCTGATATAAAAAGGAGAACAATTCTGGTAAGTTCTGCAAAGGACACAGACATTGCCATGCATCTGAGATGCAAAGAAATAGAATACTAGCTACTTAAAAGAAGACATAGTGCAGCAGATGCAGAGAAGAAATCATCCATCTTACTCTCTCATTTATTACTTCACAAAAGAAGCAGCAACTGAGTTTTCCACCGCCAAACCCACTCTCCTTCTAGAGAACTGTAGGTGTAAACCAAAATAGGTCTTCATATCAATCCCAGCATATGCTCTCTCAAACATACCAGTGTGCACCTGCTCATTTTTGAATTCTATCAAAACAAATCCCAGCACCTGTAATTCCAATAAAGTTATATGCATTTTCTAGCTACTTCTATTTACATATTAAGTATTTACAGAACAATATTCTGGAATCACCTTGGAAGTAACCGTCATTTACCTTTACAGTCAAACTCATCAGAGTTGTCACCACAGTCATTTGCACCATCACATACTTTGTTACGTGAAACACAGCGACGATTAGAACATGGCTTGAAACCCTTCCGACAGCTTCTATTTTCTGGAAAATTAAGTTCAAGCACATAATTTCATTTAGACACTTGATATGTAATAAAAATAGCCTTACATTAAAACCAGACAGACCATTCCAGAGAAATATATTAAATGAAAATGCAGTTGAAACCACAGGGAAAAACTTCAGAAATTGTTCGTTTATTGTCCAGAAGAACTTGGACTGATGAATAGATAAAGAATAATATATGAAAGCATGATGAGAAAGAATGACAAATAATTAAAAAGGAAAGCCTAAATCCCAATTTTTGTTATCTCATGTTATAAAAAATTCATGTGCTTTAAATGCATTTATTTAGACACACTTTTTGTCAGGCATGTGACAACGTTTGCTTATAGCATCAGTAATTCTATCACATAAATAATGGAGAGTAAAATAACAAATATTAGAAGAAAAGTTTCTTGATTTCTGAATACCAACACTGCAAGTGTTCTGCTCAAGTAGGCACACTATTGAAGAATGTATGAATTTTACATACGTTGATATGTTTGAAAATTCAGGAATTATTTACTAAAACCCGAACCACTGTAGAAGTCATGTCACAATACTAAATAAATAATGTTCATTGGATTAGTTAATGAGTCCAGCATCCTGTACTTTATCAGATTCAGATGACAACCTACTGTATGTGATCTAGTGCATGACAGAACCACGGTTCTTCCTGCTTTTTCCAATGTGTAGCAAAAAGTTCAGTATGGTTGATTTAAATCAGGCAAGATGTACACTTTCATACTACAAATTAATATAAAATTAAGTGGCAAATCCATGGAAAGACAAATTGTTGGATCTTGCATTTATATTTTTTTTTCAGTATTGCAGCATAAAGTATAAAATAGTTTTAGCAGCTCAGTAAACCTCAAAGCTGCAGTGACATATAAGACAACTTCTCTGGAATGACAAGAAAGAGCATTTTGAGATTCCTCACCAGCTGCAACTTTCTTATGTATTCCCAGAAGACTTTCTCTCTATTCCTTCAACCTACTCACCTCTCCTAACAAAGTAAAAGAAACTACGTGAAATCTTAATCTTTCTTCCATTAACTGTGAATAAAATAAATTACTAAAATTAATAGTAATGACAAAGAGGTTTAATCCACATAAAAATATAGCTGACTGGGTTTTTTGGTGGCGGTGGTGTCATTTTTGGTTTATATTTTGGTTGTTTTGGGTTTTTTTAATTAATTCTTATGTCTAAGAAAGATGGATACATAAATACAAATATGTCAACACATATTTAGTAAGGAAAACTAAGGCGGCATTCACAGACATAAGTAATTTACTTTTCAGTGATTTGAAGCTGTCACTTTTAAGTCAAGGGCCTTTCCCCCCTGGTAACTAGAAGTGATTCTTATTTCCTTGTCTGATGTGCTTTCTTTTTTTTTTTTTTTTTTTTTTCCCCCAGATTCAGACAAACAAACCTCCTTAGTTATCTACATGTAAATGATCTGATAGAATGTTGCTATTAGTTTTACATGACACGATCAAAGCAATTATCACATAGAAGTCTGAAAGCTAACAGGGCACAAACTGAAGATGAAAGAAAAAAATTTACATAGCACCAGTCGCTATGTGGCTGGTGTTAATTTTTGTAAGGAAAAAGAAAAAAAAGAAGAAAGCTATTTCCTTTTCTTCTTTTCAGTATCAACCTTGGCTACTACTCCAGTATCAACCTTGGAATTAGACTCAATGATCTTTATGGGTCCCTTCCAACTTGAGATACTCTATCATTCTATTAAGATGGTGGAGGTGAACTCCAGGAATTAAAGCTGGCATTTATAATAAAACTATAGAGGTGGCAGGTATAAACATAATGGATGGGTTTGAAATAACATTAAATTGTTCATATGGGAAAGAGAAGAAATACTAAGGCTGTGGTATGAATATACAGAACAAGATAGAGGCCAAGAGTTAGAGTCACACAGGTAACAAGGAGATTTCACTTAACATGCAGGATACATGAATTCACTAAGGTAGCTCAGTGATTTAGGAAAATTATATGGACAGTAGTATTTTAGACACTGCAGCAGGCAAATTCAGATGGACACAAAAAACCTGGAAGTGATTCAGTTAGTGATTATTAACAAAAAAGAGAAGGATAGAATCCCTAGGGAAAAATATGAAAATAAAGAGTAGATCGCCTTGCGTCTAACTCGTTGCAAGATGCAGACTGATTGGTGGGAAGAATAATGATATTATAAACTTGAAGAGAAAATTGAGTGGAAAGAATTCTATTACACAACCATTTTTGTATTTTATAATACTCTATTCTGGAAAAAGCAGCTAGCTGTGGCTTTCCTTATTTTTGTTTTAGGACAGAAATATGAGAAAATTTGAGATGCTTTTTTAAAATCTAAGTCAATTAATACATGAAGTTTGAGAGGAAAATATACTCAGGTATAAATAATACTATCCATATAATTTCAGGTTTTTTTTAATGTCTGAGCATTTTCTTCTTGTGCATCTTGGCAAGCAGTTGGTATGAATAAGTAGAAAAGTCACAGAGGAACCAATATAAGCATCTATGACCAAAATAACAATGTGAAGGTGAAACGTCTGGAAATACTTACCACAGTAGAAAAGTTTCTCATCAGACTTGTCCTTACAATGAGCAATGCCATCACAAGTCAGCTGATAATCAATGCATTCACCATTTCCACATTCAAACTCAGAATAAATGTTGCAAGTAGAATTTTTAGCTAAAAATAAAACATATTAACACATAATTTTTAATAGCTTTTACACTTTGTGAAAATGAGAAAAATGTTGGCTGTATTTAAAATATCTCCTATGCAGTTTTTGAATATCTGAGTACAAAAAAAAAAAAAGCATCATGGCATCAGAACTTAAAAGATTCTACAGAGCGGTGGCCTGCAAGACTGCTATATTTCTCTGTAAATTTGTTGATACTATGCAGGATTGAGGACAGATATCTAAATAACAAACAATTTTCAGATATGTTGGGGTGAATTCCAAAACAAGGTAAGAGAGGGTCCGTAAAAGAAAAATAAATAGCCAAATATCCATGAAGGAACATGTAGTGAAGCAACTTAAAGGCAGCAGTTCTGATAAGATGATGACATTGTCACTACTGTGCTCAGCTGTCCTCTACCCACACGTGCCTCTCCACAACCCCCACCTTGTATGCAACCGTTTCTTGATAGATGTTCAAAATAACCTCTTCAACATAGCACATCCAAACCAATTAGCAAACACTTACTATTACCCAGCAGTTAATTTGAACTCTGCTTTGTGACCATGTGTAGCTGCCTGGTGTGTACAGAGGTACGGCACCAATGTACTACAACCAGCGTTGAAGATATAGCCTAGCCCCCAGTGAAGAAAATCTGCTGTTTGTACTTCACCTATTTCTTTTTATTCACAAAAAAATCCTTGGTAGATATAAAAATTTTTTGTGTTCTTGCCTTCGCAGAGTGGATTTTTTTTTATTTATTATTTTAGAAGAGAACAAGATGTACATTTAAAATGTTGAGTCCTGCTTTCTCTTGCACATAGATTTTCTATTAGATCAGTTAGAAACTAAAAAAAGTATCACAAAATTTACACAGAACAATTCAGTCATGAACTTTGTGACAGTACATTTACTCCATGTGTATGGTTCTAAACAAAATACCAGACTTGAGAGAAAGAAGAAATATATAGGACAATTGAAGAGGAAGAACAGGGAAATGATACCTAATCGTTATGCTTTTTTTTTTTCTTGTTTCCATTACAATTACTTCAGCACAAATTCAGGAGGAACTGATATCTGCTATATGCAAGAGTCAAGCCAATATAAATTGAAAACATTTCTTGATTTGATTCAAACATGAAGAAAAATATGAAAGAAGTGCTGAAAATACAGATTCTGGACAGTGTGAGATCTGATCTTGTATATGATTTATACAGTCCTTTAAATGTTAATCAAGTTTATCACAGCATTTGTTTTTCTCTCTTTTTTCCTCCCTATTTTTAGCATTGTAAGAACTTGGATCTTAGGAAAAGTCATTCTCAATTACATTTGTAGTTCACCTAGTTCAGCATCTTAGACCGCAATCTTTGGAGAAAGATGAGGAAAAAAAAAAAATCAAAATGCATGTATAGTAGTATAATCTGCCCTCAGTTAAAAAGTCTAACTGAAAACCCTTGTAGAGATTGCTTCAACCCCCAACTTTCAGAAACAAAGCGTTTTAATGCCTTTCAAAACAGTTTATTTGATTAAAAACAAATAGTCTGGGTAGTTTTATTACCCATATAATCATCCAATCCCCCTTTGAATTTTACTGAAGCTTTGTCTGAAGAATCTGGACTGGCAGTAAGTTGTATAGTCTAATTACACTTTGAAAGGGCAATTAATTTTATCAGCTGGAATTGCTAACTTTTAATTTTATTGAGTATCCCTTTCAACTGTGTTGCAAAGAAATAAACTTTTGATCTCACAGCTAAACTATAAAGTCTGTCTTGTTTCCATCCTTCCTGTGCTAGGCTACCCCAACGTGCAATGTCCAACTCTGTCTTTTTTTTTTTTTTAACTAACTCAGATCAACTTTTCCTGAGAATGCTCTACAAAATAATTTAGAAGATAGAATCTTACACCATGGTCTAGATGAGGATTTAAACACTGGTGTTTTTTTACCGAATAGCCACTTTAAGATTTGTAATGCTTTGGAAAATACAAATGCCATATAATATTAGAAAATAGTTTAAAGAAACAGGTGAGAAAAAAGTGCTTTAATTAAGGTTCAACTTCAGTAACTCATCTGATGTAACCCTAGATAGACCCAATGGATGCAAGTAGATGCTTTTATCTATCTCAGTAGTAATTATGATAGATATTTAAAAATCATAACTGTTACGAAGGAAGTAGTACCTTACTACCATAATGGCAGTTTTTTTATCTTGGTTGTGGGTTTTTTCAGCCTCTTTGGGATGCCAGCAGCCATCCTTCTCTCCCACCTCCAAACAAACCAGGACCTTTATTGCATTCCCGCAAAGAGTTTAAATCATTACATGAAATAAATAAATTCCATTACATTTAATGAAGGTAAAATGAGGATCAGTGAAAGATTTGTCTCCTCACTGCTCCAGACATTAAGAATTCCAACTCTTCTTTGTATTTTCTCTGATTCTAATTAACCTAGAAAACTGAGATGTTTATGATAGAAATACCTTAACCAAGCACTGAAAAACATTTAACCTGCCACAATTTGATCCTGTCGTCTTTATCAGCCACTGAGGTTTCTGCCCTGCTGTGAGGAAGTAAAAAAGAAAAAAAAAAAAAACACACTAGGCTCTTGCCAGCCTAGCAATGAAGGAAAAATTCCTTGCCAGATTCAGAGAAGGAGGCAGCAGTTAATTCCAAGTCCTTTGCAATTCCTATACTTTACCATAGTCTATCTCTGGGCTAAAGGGATGGGAGAACGCTAGCTGAGTGAGTGATGGAGCTAACCCCCAAGACCAAGTGCAGACTGGCAGGCAATGGAACTTAATGAAATTGTCCAGCTCTAAGAGGTCTCTTGAATGATCAAGATAAATAAAACCTGACAGCGTGGGAGGGTGTAATAAGGTGATTATATAAGCCTGGTGGTAATATTCCATATGCAGGAAGTGGAAATATTTGGCTCTAGAGGAAAATATCTTTTGTGAAGTAGTAAAGTCTTAATTAATATCTTTGAACTGTTAATAATCAGATACCCATCCATACAATCTCAATTGATCACTGGATTGTCTTACTAGAATAAAGGTCTGCCAGTCTGAAACTGTTGTAGTTTAAATTGAAATCTTTATCATTGCAAATCATCTGTGAAATTCATTGTATCTCAATTATACAGCTAGACAAAGCGGCTTTTCAGTAAGAGCTGTAAACGTAATATAGGTTAGCTGAACACTACTTTACTACTGCATTTTGACTCTAGATCAGCTGTATATTCCCTGTTGTGAAGGATAAGAGTTTTAACCCTCATACTTCCATATATTTCATTACAGAACCAGGTCTTCCTCTGAAATCTCAGTGACCTTATAATACACTATGTAAAGATTTCGTTAACAACTAACAACATGTCTGCATGACCCAAAGGTAAAGGTCAAAGGTGAACTATAAACTGTGTGAAAGTGCAGATTAAAACTGTAGCAATTCATGAGTGTGTTTGGGACATGTTGGTAGCTACTGTAAGATTATACTGATTATATGGATATAAATATATGCGTCTGGTTTCATTTAGTAGCAATTTTTTTTTTAAATTAAGCAAGAGGCAAAGCTATGAATCCAAAATAAATACGGCAAAAGAAAATTTAGGATTAAAATCTTAGATGCAATAACCAAGAAATTAGTTTGGTACAGTACAAAACTAATTACAGGCTCCTCACAAAGCTATGTAGCTGACCTGCCAAGCCCAAGTATCTGATTCTAAAGGACTGGGGTCCAGCCCTAAGGAAGCCTTAACCCAATTTAAAAATCACACCAATACTTAAAGGTGTAATTCTACCCTTTCCCTCATCACAGCCTTCTGTTCTCATTAATTCTCTTTAACTGGCTCTAGTGATCTTGCAGTGTCAAGCTGAATGAGCTCTGCTCACCGATCCCACCAAAACTAGGTCGAAAACCAAGAAGTCCTGATTCCCAGTCATGAAAGTTAGTTAAGTCATCGTTCAGTTGCACAACTATTATTGCTGATGAAAGGCATATGGTGGGAGGGAGAATAAGCCTGTCCTTAGCAGAAGAATACTACGTCTTCTTCAACTGATCATTAAACAACAGTATTCTTTCCTGTTATGAAAATACTGATACGAAAATACTATTGTCTCAGATGTACCAGGAAAACCTACTATCATTCTAGCATGAAAACTATCAGTGGCATGACCAAAATAAGCTCTATTAGCAAAGGGGTAAGCTTGCAAAATAACCAGTAGAGATGTGTCAATGAAGGACTACATCTTTTCATATCCCACACCAAAACAGCTCTGCATATACAGACCAGCATTTTAAAAGTGACTCTGTATCAGTAGAAGAGAAGCCACTTGTTAGGCTGTTCAGGAGCAACAGACTGACACAGCAGAGTTGGAAGCAGGTAAACTGTCTAAGCTTCTAGCATGATGGTAAGTCTTGCTAAATCATATACAAAACTTAAATATAATTTTTCTTGTATGTTATAGTGACTCTCTACTATTAGGATAAAAAAAAAAAAATTATTTAGAGAAAGTATGTGTGCCAAAGTTATGAAACCAAAGCAGAACAGGCATGCTTGGCAGATAGATATGGAAGTGGAGAACTTTATGTAAGAGTTGGGATTTCTGGCCCACAAAGGCAAAGGCCCAATAAACCACTGGAACTTGGAAGTGGTCTCTAACTGTGAAAGAAGAGCTACAATACAGTGACATCAACAACGCGTGTGTGTCCCCAGCTTTCCCTCCATTCCAAATCCAGCCAGCTACACTTGTTGAGGGGAGAAGCACAGAGTCATGTTCCACATTATGAATGTGGGTCATCTCTGGGGAAACAGCCCAAATCTTTTCAGTTAATTCAAGCCTGCTGAGACACAGCATCAGCAAAGTGACAGAAATTTTCTCCAAATCATTAGAAAAGCTGGAAGAGTGCAAAGTGTGTATATATATCACATCCTTCCAAATTACCAGCATATACTTCCATTTTCATAAACATCAATTTTGCACACAGACAGTGTGATCTAAAGAAGCTGCAATGGATGACCACATATTCTCAGTAACTTTTGAACTACGAAAAAATAGTTTTCTTGTATTTTTTTTATCATGTGCTCAAGAAGTGGGCCTGTGTGAACCTTATGAGGTTCAACAAGGCCAAGTGCAAGGTCCTGCACCTGGGTTGGGGCAAACCCCTGTACCAATGCAGTCTAGAGGATGAAGGAATTGAGAGCAGTGCTGCAGAGAAGGACTTGGGGGTACTGAGGGATGAAAAGCTGGAGATGAGCTGGCAATGTGACAATGTGTGACAATGGCCAGAAGGCGAACCATACCCTGGGCTGCATCAAAAGCAGTGTGGCCAGCAGGGCAAGGGAGGGGATTCTGCCCCTCTGCTCTGCTCTGGTGAGACCCCACCTGGAGCCCTGCGTCCATCTCTGGAGCCCTCAGCATAGGAAAGACATGGACCTGTTGCAGTAGGTCCAGAGGAGGCCACAAAAGCGATCAGAGGGCTGGAGCACCTCTGCTATGAAGAAAGGCTGCGAGAATTGGGCTTGATCAACATGGAGAAGAGAAGGCTGCGGGTTGGAGTAGATGCCTTTTAAAGGTCCCTTCCAACACAAACTATCCTGTGATTCCATGATTCTATGTGTTGAGACATACTGGTTCAGAGGAAGCATAGGAAGATATGAGAAGAGAACTTAGAACAGTGCAATACAGATTATTCTCCAAAACAAGTCTCCAAGGAGTCTGCCAACTAAAAGGGATACATTCCCGAATTACTAAAACACCAGTAATTCACAATTATTTCATATGTCTAAGGTCATGAAATGAAAATATTTGTACTCACCAGAAACAAATTGCAAATAGGAAATGTTCAGTAGAACACAACTACCCAAACTTGAATTTAAGGAGAGTGTAAGTACTAATGCTTTTTAACACCCCTAAAGCCTTATAAGACATAAAATAGTTAAAAGCCTGGTATGTGCTGAATTGCCAGATCAATTTTTACAGTATATAGAAGCAATAAAATTAATGGCTTGGGCCAACTGTCTTTGCTTATGATAGCCAACTGCATCACAGCATAGAAAAGCATTGTGTCAGCTAGTATTACTTACTCACACATCTGTTATCATCTATCAGTATTCTATCCCCTCGACATGAACAGTTCACTCGTCCATCAGGAGTCAGAAGGCATAAATCATGACAACCTCCATTCATTTGTGCGCAAGGAGATAACTCACCTGAAAAACAAATGATAAAAGATGGACTCTGTTTTATTAAATTTGCTTCAATGGCCAATGTCTTTGAGAGCGCAAAGATTACCATATCTTGGATTCACGGGCAATTGATTCATGTTTTATCAGTCAGACGAAAATGTCAGTATGCCTCAGATGCTAGCATACTAAAGATAAACAGATGGAGTTACGTTGAATGTAATAATTTAAAAACCCCACAACATGCAAAACTTTTCATATTTGACAGGAAACGATTTAACTGCTATCAAATGAGCACAATGTCCATAGCAGAAAATAGTCATTCAATAGTATTTATTTACTTGGGGAAGAGGTTACATCCCATCTTTTGTTATCAGTTCCTACAATAAAAAGAATTTATGAAACACCATTAAATGTTTTAACCTGATTAAAACTAACTAAAATTCTTGAGATTAATGATATTGGAATTAACAAAATAGTGTCTCTTTCTTTGTAACTTACAACTGTTAGTATCGTTGGCAACAGCAATAATGCCCATTGGCTGATGAGGGATATCAGAACGAAGAACTTTTGTATCTCCTCCTGTATATTTACTGGAACGCAGAATAGCTCTCCTCACTCCATCTGACCAGAAGATATAATCATCATATACAGCCAGGCTGAGAAAGGTACCTGGTCCAGATTTGACAATTACCTGGAATACATAAGTAGATAAGAGATGCATGAGAAAGAATGTTGTCTCTGAATAAGAACAAACTGTGTCTCACATCACATTATAGTTTGAGACAAAACACTTAATTCTTCTATACTTACAGCACCTGGAAAAATGAGATAGCAGCACTTAAAATGTGTTAAAAGGATGCTACAAGGGTTAACTTATTATTTCTTGATATGTCCAAACTTCAGAAATTTGCTCCTTAAGTAAAAAAAAAAACCTCACAGTTTATCTAAATGTGCTGGTAAAAATACCTACTCAGCACACTACCTGCTTAATAGCTCAAACGGAACAGAGAAAAAGAGGTACTGTAGCATGGCTGAAAGTATAAAAACTCTGAGTCTTTATGAATCAAAGCCAGAAACATGTTTCAGAACTGAAGAGCGTTCACCACTATGATCACATCAGAAACTTGAATTCAAGACAATAAATGTTTCTTTTTTCAATTAAAAAAAATCTCCTCAGTCACTATACTAATTATCAGTTTAAAACCTATAAAGGAAATATGAATTGCAGTTTACTATACGGTAGGGTTTGTATGAAAACTGCAGAAATACAATGAATTTAATCCTAGCTTAAATCACAGCTCCTGTAAAACATTTTCATATATGGTCTTTATTTCTGTGTATCAGAATTAAAAATTTAACATGTACAGTTTCCGTTCTGAAGAACATAACGCATTTTTAATCAGTTTTCTAGCTGAAAATTTAATTTTGGCTGAATAGCAGAATTATTGGAAGGGGGTCATTATTTCTCCATTGGAATTATTGAGAGATAACGGAAATAAATAATATTCTGAACATATTTATTGCATTATGTTCTTCCATGTTTCTCTGGGAAAATGAATAACTTATGTGTATGTATAACGTGGGAACAGTTCTGATCCAGGCTGGCAAAAAAAAACCCTGTATCTATGTATCTAGCTGCAACTTGTCATAAGGAAATTGTGATAAAACCAGAAAAAGAATATCTTTCTTTTAACAATCCAACAAAATTTACTCTCTTTTTATAATCATCAATGCTTAACCTATATTTCTACTTAGGTTGCCACGGTTTTCCATCTGTTTTCTGTCCTTTAGCCTCTTTCCCAAAGGACCTTTTGATAACAATACGAGTTCACAGAAATCAACTTGAAATATAGAGGATAATTATCTGCACATACACAGCACATCTCATGAACCTGAGCTATTCATGCTGACTGCATACATGCACAGAGGCTGCACTGTGCATGCAGACCCAACTGGTACACTGTTTAGCCTACCTGCAAGTGGAGGCTGTGTACCTTTCATTTTTTTTTTTTTTTTTTTTTAAATGATGGAATGAGAAAGAACTAGCAGTGGTCAATCCAATATTTAATTAAAAATAATAATAATTTTTAAAAAGTCTTTCCTATCTTATAAGGAATTCACCTAATATACAAGACATCCAAATTTAATTTTGTAGAATAAAAAAAACCCCATTCTTCCTACTACAGCTATGCCTTGGAAATTAAGAAGGTGCCCTAACTCTGCAGTATTCGATACCAAGTAATGCTTCAGTGGCACTTTGTTCACACCTTTGCCAGTTCCCTGCCCAGGCCCAGGCAGTGAACAGCCTCCAAACCAGTAGCTTGCAAAATGCCTTTGGGAATGTCCTTGAACTCACTAAGTGCCAAACTACTCCCAAGAATTGTCTGGGAAAAGCATTAGCTAGCACAGGGAATGTTGAGACACGTGAACGTTTCAACACTTTGCTAACATAAATAACTGTACTCCAGTGCACAGGAGCATTCCTGGCCATGTTTAAATTCACTTATACAGATACAGCGTCAAAATTACTTATTAATCAGATAATTATAACAGATTCTGCACCACTATGCACATTATATATTTCTGCATATTTCTAAGAAGGTTTGACCAGCAAATCCTTTTTTCCAGCAAAGATTTTTTCCAGTAATAAATGTCTCAGGAGGACAACTTTTCTCTAACCAACCTTATTTCAAAATTAAAAGTATTAAAAGATAGATGGGAATGTATTAATAGCAAAAAGACCTCTTCTGCAAATGTGCACATTTACTGTAAGACACTTTTCATAATACACTCTTAAAAGCCTATGCTATTCATATTCAGACACATTTCAAAAAAAAAAAAAATCAATCATGTATGTTTCTGAAAGATCTGTACAAAATGGAGCCATGCGGATTTTGAAACCCTATATTTGTTCTCCGTGATAATGTGAAACTGTCTCAGTTTGAAGGATTTTATTGTCACGACCAATGCCAAGGAAGGCACTACCCTGTTCACCGCTCTGTGGTCTGTAGTGCTGTCATAATTTTTCTCAAATTGTAACAAAGGAATGTAAATTCGTTACAGAACTGATCATTGTTGTTCGGCCTGGGGAGATTTGAGGTCCAAATAAAGGGTCACAAAAGCTAACATCCAGGAACACTTGTTCACTAATGCTCATAGCACTTAATTCACCCAGGTCTCCTCTATCATGTCACAGCACTATCGAAGCACACAGGTTTTATTTTAGCATCCAGAAGAAAGAGTTTCTATTTCTGCCAGCTTTTGGCCAACTTTACAGACCTTTTAACATCATAGTTTATAGAATAGCGCTGAAAATGATTGACAATTTTTTTTTTTTTTAAATCACTCACAGAATCTCTCCTGGATGATCAGAAGAAACTGAAAATGAAAGTCTTCTCTAAAAGTCTGTTCATCCTTTGGTTACCTGCCAAATCATGTTTAAGTCCTGAGGATTCAGCATCAACCAAATTTGCTGTGCATCAAACCTGTTATAAGCTATCATAGAATCACAGAATCACTTTGGTTGGAAAAGACCTTTGAGATCATTGAGTCCAACCTTTAACCTAACCCTGCCATCCCACCACTAAACCATGTCCCTAAGCACCTCATCTATCCTTCTTTTAAATACCTCCAGGGAGGAGGACTCTACCACCTCCCTG